CTCGAGCCCACCCCTCCCGCCCGCCCCTTTCGCCGCCGTTCCCGCCCCTTTCCCCGCGGCCTCACAAAATGGCGGCCCCCGCCGCGAGCCCGGGAGGCGGTGCGGCGGAAGGATAACGCCTCGCCAGTAAAAGAGTCCGCGCCGAGCCGGAGGAGGAGGAGGAAGGGCGAGCTCGCCCTCCCCGCGCTCTGTCTCCGAGGGAATTGTGCGGAATTTGGGGATTTCTCCTTCTTTTCTCCGTCACTTTCCCTCCGCCCCCGTCGGGCGACGGGGGAGCCCTGGAGGGGAGTATTTTTTCTCTAGCGGAAGGATATCAATAAGCAGAGAGTGTGACCTGCCGGTAGTTCCCTCAGAGGCCTTTTGGCGCCAAATATAAAATGGAGGCGGCGCCTCCCTGAGGCGATGGGGGGGGTTTGATGCTTTACAGAGCCCTGAGCCCCTCGATGGGTCAGTGTCTATAAATGTATATGTATATTTAGATATGTATATGCGCGTATTTCAGTAGTTTGTGTGTCTCTGTCCCCTCTGAGTATCTAAGATTGAGCCCCCCTCAGGGTGCCGGACCCCCCTCTCCTCACTGTGTAACCCCCTCAGGTGCCCCGGACCCACTCAAAATGCCCTTTTTTTGAGGTAAATTCGGAAGTCTGGGGCCTTCTTCTTCCCTGGGGTGTTTTCCTGCGGGGCTTGTAAAAGCCGAAGCGCAAATAATATCCTCAATGCGCTTAAATTAATCCTTTAGGCTTAGTTTTTCCACACTTAAGTCCTCCACAGCAGACACAGGGGTCAGTTCTCAGCTCACCGTAAAAAGATTTAAAACAACTTAAATCCGTAGAACTTGATGCCAGTCTACATGTCCACAGGAATGTGTATGTTTTTAACTGATTTTATTTAAGGTTTCATAATAAATACTTCTCCTGCAGGTTTTCCCAGCTGGGAACACAAAAGTCGAACAGCTCTGCAGAGGAGAATTTACATTTTTCACCTCTGGTTTTACACGGATGGTTCAAAATCAGCACACTTGGTTATTTCTGGAGATTACAGGAGAGCTGCATTCCATTTTCACAGCAGAATGCAGATTTTTTTTTTTCCAACTTTTGCCTATTTGTGGCACTTTTGAAGTGCTGCCTCGGCCTGCCCCCAGCCACGTTCCCCCCCCAGCTCTCAGGACAATTTTGGGATGCTCCACATCACTTCACCCCAACCAAACCCCAAAAAAGCACATTCGAGAAGACAAACCAATCCCAGAAAAACAATCTTGGGGGTGGAGGGGGGGAAATAACTGCTTAAATTGGGTTTTTCTCCCCCCATTTTGAGGTGATGCTCAGAAATAAACCTCAGCAGGTGAAGATCTCCCCGAAGAAAACTCAAGGCTTCCACTTGAGCAAATGCAGCATTTTTTTTTTTTTTTGGTTATTTTTAAAGTGGTTGATTAATTGGGTAGGAAACCTGAAATACTTCCATTTGGGGGTAAGATCAAACTAAATTCTCCATCTTCTCTTTCAGCTCAGCCCCTGTCACAGACCCCATGATGTGCCTGGTGTGTGTCCCAGCCAGGAGTCACACCGGGAATAAAGCACATGAGGCATAAAAAGATGAAAAAAAATCAAATTTGGGGCAGTGAACACCCAGCCTTGACCCCACCCAGCAAGGTCAGAGCATTTCCATGTGTATTTACCCTCCTGGACATCATTTTTTTCTGCTTGGACTCAAGCCCCAAGACTCAAAGTGATTATTTTTCTCAAGAAAAAGGTTCGTGCTGACGCCCTGGGCACATCCCTGCCTCTTCCACCTTGAATTCCTGAGGGGAAGGGGAAGGAATGAGGCGGATTTGGGAGAAACTGGGTCGGGGGAAGGCAGAGGAGGGTCAATTCCCACCGCTCCGATGGCACAGATGAGTTTCTTAAAAAAGCAGGCGAGAAATGAGGTGAAAAACGTGTCACACGGGGCAGGGACACCCACGGTCACACCGACACCCCCCCAGCACCTCCCAAACACGGAGAGGGGCAGCGAGGGGGGCTCTTTCTGCCCTCTGCCCTCGTATTTGCCCCCGGTGTCATTCCCCCCTCCTTGCCAAGGAGGGAGGGAAAGGGCGAGGAGCGGGGAGGGGCTGAAGGTTTCTCAGGGAGCCCATCACCGTCAAGCCCAGGGGGGAACTGCTGAGTCAATTAGCGACGGCAAAACCGCCCGGAAACGAACAAAAAACCAACCCGACGACCCCCGAAGTGACAAGAAAACCAAACCCCGGCGGAGAGGGGGAGAGCAGGGAGGGGCGAGGAGGGGCGGGAAGGGCTTCAGATGAGATCGAAATCCAAGGGGCTGATGCTGGCGATGGGAGCCCGCCAGAAGTTGAAGGTGTTGAACTGCAGCAGGGTGTCCTCCTCCTCCTCCTCCTCCTCCTCCGGGGCCAGGTCCTGGCTGAGCCGCTGGCCCACGAGCTGGCCCAGCCCTGCCTTGGGCTTGTAGAGGGCCATGTCTGCGAGCCCCAACCCCTCCAGCTCGGCCACGTCCAGCCGCGGGATCGGCATCCTCCAGTAGATGAAGGAGTCGTACTGGCTGCTCATGGTGTCCAGCATCCTGGGGATCTGCAGGGAGGGCAGGGCGAGAGGAGAGGGGGGAGAAAAGCTCGACAGACACGCAGCAGTTGCCTCAAAGTGGCCGAAAAATCTCAGGTGTTGCCCGGGCTGACTCAATCCCACAAGACACCCCCCCCCCCCTCCCAAAATCGAACCGCTGGCGGAGGAGGGCGTGGGGTTGGGGAGGTTTTTGACTCCAGGCTGGGTCTAACTGCAGATCTGAGCCCTGCCAAGGCTTCACCCACGGCCTTGGTCACAGCCCTGCTCTGTGCTGTCATTTGGAGGGGAGGGCAAGGGACTTGTCACCCTCTGCCTCAGTTTCCCCGTCCAAACAAAGCCCGGGAGGGAAGGGCAGGGCGGGGATCTGCTCCTCCTGAAATCCACCCTGGGGTGCCCCCCACATCCCGCCCTGCTGGGAGGGAGGGAAAACAGCATCCAAATGAGCTGGTTTTCCATGAGACAGCACACAGGGCTCTCTCCCTTTCCCTGTGCAGGGCAATGAGGGGAGGGGGGGTCCCTGCAGGGCCATGCCAGAACCCTCTGGAAAGGGCTGGAAGCAGCGTGGCTCGGTGTTCCCAGCACTCCCCACCCATCCCTGCCGAATTCCCCCTGCCAGCCCCGCCCCGATCCACCGAGAACTGGGAAAGAGCAGGAGGAGACGCGGATCAGCTGAGTCACTGCCCGGCTTTTCCCCGGCAGGATTATGTCGCTCACCTCCATCGGAGGTGGGGAAAAATCGGAATAACCCAAAACATCCTCTTTTTTTTTTTTTTTTTTTTCCCCCGCTGATCCCCCCGTTTTAAGCCTTGGAAAGCGGAATTCCAAAGGATGACTCAGGCAGAGCTCGGACCGTGCCCTGTCTGTGCTGATGAGCAGCTGCTACATTTGAGATTCCCGATGTCACTCCGAGGCAATGAAAGGCTCCTGTGTCACCCCTTCGGGGCAAACCGAGCCACGGGGCTTCGAAAAAACCTCTTCCCTGGGGGGATTTATCCCCGGGGATCCATCCCCGGGTTTCTTGCTGCACAAGAGCAGCGAATTATTTTAATGGTGATGGGTGTTGTGGACATGGATTTTAAGGCTTCAAAGGGGAGAAAAAAGGGAGTTTAGTGACAAGGGGAGGGAGAAAGGGAGTTACGTGACAAGTAAAATATTATTCAAATATCCAGTAAAAGGGAATGAATGTGAGAAAAAAAGCCCTCCTGTGTCGCGTGTCACCCCTAAGAAAGAGCATTTCCCGCGGGATCAGCGGGGTCCGCTCATCCCACGGAAGCAAAACCACCTTTCATCCCCTTAAATCCCCGCCGGCTGTCACTTATTTCCCCCGAGAAAACAACGCTCCCAACACACACACACCCCCCTCCACCCAAATCCCTCGCTTTCCCCAAAAGCATCCTCCGGCTCTCCCATCCTCCCTGCCCCGCATCCCTCCCTCACCTGCGCCCGGGGCCGGCTCGGAGGGACGCGCTCGGGGGCTCTTTGTGCCGGGGCAGCCGCGGCTCTCGGGCAGCGTCGCTTTTGTCTGCGGGCGCGGCTGGGTCTGCAATGCAGCCCCTCGGCTCGCCTTCCTCGGGTAGGGGGGGGATGATGATGGTGGCAGATGAGTCAGCGGCTCCCACCCGCGCCGGGGAGGGGGAGGACGGCGGGGGCGGAGGCTCGGGGAAGGGGAAGGGGGGGGATCCTGCGCGCTGGACCCCCGAGATGAGGAGATGTTAAACCCGCAGATCGCTCCTGAAACCTTCAGCTGCGGGGTTTTTTTTTTTTTTTTTTGGGGGGGGGGGGGGGGATAAAGGGGCGTTTTCTGTCTCTGTGGAGCCGGCAAATATTTCTTTCACCTGCAGGAGGAGGAAGGGGGTGCTGGGTGCCCCTAAATCTTGGGAGGGCACGGGGCCGTTTGGTTCCAAAAAAAGCTGGAAAAGGGGTTTTTCTTATGGCTGAGACTGTGAGTATTTATTTGGTCCTGAGGGCCACACGGCAAAAATATCCCGGCTTTGTGTCCAAAGCCAGACATGGAGCTGGAAATAGAGAGACACCCAAAGCTGGCATCAGTGCCAGGGCTGAGGGGGGGCCTGCAAACCAGGGTGGGGGGCACCCTGTGCAGCCCTGCTGCCCCCAGTTCCCACCCTGGGCTGGTCCAGTGTGACAGGGGCAGCGAAGAAAACCCCGATGCGACCCCTCAGACCAGAGAATCTCCTGTCCTGGCACCCAAAAAACCCTTTTTTGAGGGGGGCACAGGCCAGATCCACAGCCCTGAGAGGCGAGAGCAGCTCTCGCCCTCCTCTCCCCGGGCTTTGCCCGAGATCAACATTCCTTCGGGGCTTTAGGGTTTTTTCCTCCCTTTTCCTCCCCATTCCCTGGTTCCCTGCGTGCAGCTGGTTGTGCCAGGGCTCGGCCTGCAGCCAGGCTATTTCTGCCTCCTCCTCCTCCTCCTCCTCCTCCTCCTCCCCACCGCTGTCATGGCCCAAGAGGATCCCACGTTCCTGCTCCAAAATAGACCCTCGGGCTCAGCTCGGCCCCCCCAGCACCCAGCACCAGGAGAATTCCAACTGGGGGCCCGTGGCAGGATGTGGGTCCCTCTGAGGGGTCGAGATGCTGGTTTTGGGGTTGCCCCAGGCCCTGGGGGGCAGCTTGGCTGAGCAACTCCGCAGGGAGCTGGATGTCACCCGTTTGCTTCTCTTCGGGGTCTCTGTCACCTGCTCAAAGGGGTGGCTCACGTGTGACAACCCAAAACCTGCCACGTCCCTCTCCAGGAAGGGTCCTGGGGCTGAACCCCCCCGGGGGGGACGTGGCAGTGGGGGCACAGCTTTGGACTCGATTTTGGGAGGGTTGTGAGGGGGACAGTGTCCTCTGGCAGCACAAGGGCCACCAAAAGGGGCTCTTCAGCTGGAACGAGGTCACAAACCCCTGGGGGATCACCAGCCAGGGCCACCAGCCAGGGCCACCAGCCAGGGCCAGCCCAAGGCCCGGGGACAGCGTGGGACAGAGACCTGGCTGAGTGGGGACAGTGCTGCCTTGTTCGGGATTTCTGGAGTGGGAATGACGGGGATGGTTGGGACTGGGGGGCTGACATGGGAAGGGATGCTCCGGAGCTCCCCCCTGCGTGGGTCCCTCCGTGTGGGATGGGGACTGCGGGAGGGGACACCCCAGAGGTCACAGGCCAGTTTGGCCAGTGGCTGGAGCCGCGGGGTTGTGTCGGCAGCACCGTGGTGGCCGTGGGGGCAGGGGCAGGATCAGGGTGGTGGCAGGACTGTGACGGTGACACCACCATGGCAGCAGGACCATGGCAGTGAAGGCGGTGGCAAGACTGTGGTGGTGGCAGGACCATGGTGGCTGTGGCAGGACTGTGGTGGCAGTGGCAGGACCGTGGTGGTGGTGGCAGGTGGTGCCTCGGTCCCCCAAGGGCTCTGGGCATATCCATGGAAAAAGTGGGAATAAGGCTGGGGGGCAAATGGGAGCACAGCCAGCACTTGGTGGGGATCCCAGCCTTGCTGGGCACCCCCAGCCCTCCCAGGACCCCGAGAACCCCCAGTACTGGCACCCCAGGATTCTCCAGCCCTACAGGAATCCCCCAGTTTCCCGCTGGGACCCCGGGGACCCCCAGCCCTCCCAGGGCTCCGGGGACGCCCCAGCCCTACCGGGACCCCGAGAACCCCCAGTACTGGCACCCCAGGATTCTCCAGCCCTACAGGCATCCCCCAGTTTCCTGCTGGGACCCCAGGGACCCCCATCCCTGCCGGGACCCCGAGAACCCCCAGTACTGGCACCTCAGGATTCTCCAGCCCTACAGGGATCCCCCAGTTTCCCACTGGGACCCCGGGGACCCCCAGCCCTCCCATGGCTCCGGGGACCCCCCATCCCTGCCGGGACCCCGAGAACCCCCAGTACTGGCACCTCAGGATTCTCCAGCCCTACAGGGATCCTCCAGTTTCCTGATGGGACCTCGGGGACCCCCAGCCCTGCCAGGACCCCGAGAACCCCCAGTACTGGCACCCCAGGATTCTCCAGCCCTACAGGGATCCCCAGCCCTGCCAGGACCCCGAGAACCCCCAGTACTGGCACCCCCGGATTCTCCAGCCCTACAGGGATCCCCCAGTTTCCCGCTGGGACCCCAGGGACCCCCAGCCCTCCCATGGCTCCGGGGACCCCCCAGCCCTGCCAGGACCCCGAGAACCCCCAGTACTGGCACCCCCGGATTCTCCAGCCCTACAGGGATCCCCCAGTTTCCCGCTGGGACCCCGGGGACCCCCAGCCCTCCCATGGCTCCGGGGACCCCCCATCCCTGCCGGGACCCCCCCGCCGCCCCCCTGCAGTGCCGGCGGGGCCCGGGGGAGGGCGCTGTGCCCGGTTCGGGCCGCGCCGGGCGGCGGGAGCTGCGCCGCGTCCGCACGGGCCACGCCTGGGGCTGGGAACGGGAACGGGAACGGGACCCCCGGGCCACGCCTGGGGCTGCGAACCGGGAACGGGACCCCCGGGCCACCCCTGGGGCTGGGAACCGGCACCGCGAACGGGACCCCCGAGCCACGCCTGGGGCTGCGAACCGGGAACGGGACAGGGATCCCCGGGCCACGCCTGGGGCTTCGAGCGGGGCACCGGCACCGGGACCTGCCCCGGGACCCCCGGGACACGCCTGGGGCAGCTGCGAACCGGACAGCGGGACCCGCAGCCGCGCCGGGACAGGTAATGGGGCCGCCACCGGGACGGGTCGGGGGTGCGACCCCGCGGAAGGGCCCCCGAAAGCGCCGTGGGAAGGCGGGGAGCGGCACCAGAACGGGACGGGGGGGGGGGGCGGCAGGACCACCCCCCTTTGCAGCCCACCGGTGGGACCAGGGAGTCCTGCCGGGACCCCCAGGACCACCGAGACCCCCAGCGCTGCCAGGACCCGCCAACCCCACCAGGACCCCCCGGTACCACCAGGACCCCCCAGTACCACCAGGATCACCGCGGTCCCAAGCCCTGCCGGGACCCCCCAGCTTTGCCGGGACCTCTGGGGTCCCCAGACCCGCCAGGACTCCGTGGGGTCTCAAGCCCTGCTGGGACTCCCGAACTCCATCAGGACCCCCCCAGCCCTATCAGGACCCCCCCCAACCCTACCAGGACCCCCGGGGATCTCAGCCCTTCTAGGGCGGGGGTCGCAGCCACGACCATCCCACTCTAAGGAGGTTCACACCCCCCCCCCCCCTTTGCCGCCCCATCCCGGGGGTCCCGGGCCCGCAGCCGGGGCACCCCAGGACTCTCACCCAGCGTGTCCCCGTGTCCCTTCCGAGCTTCAGGAACCCCCAGCAGGAGCACCCTTGGAGTGGGTGACCCCCAGTGCTGGGGGGCTCGCAGTGGGCATCTCTATGTGATCCCTGATGGTCTCCATGTGATCCTGGGGGTCTCTGGGTGATCCCTGGGGGTCTCTGTGTCATCCCAGGGGTCTCTATGTGATCCCTGATGGTCTCCATGTGATCCTGGGGGTCTCTGGGTGATCCCTGGTGGTCTCTGTGTCATCCCAGGGGTCCCCCCCCTTTCCCCAGACCCCGGCGGTGACGCAGAGCCGAGCGGTGGTTTCCCAACCGGGAAGTCATTTTGTGAGTGCCGGCACAGGCCGGGCCTGAGCCGCCCTCGCCGGGGCCACCCCGCGCCCAGCTGGGCTGAGACCGGACACAGCTCATCGCAGGGGTGGGCTGAGGGCGTGTTGGGGGGCGTGGGACCCCCCCCATATCCACCAGAGCGGGGAATTGGGGCGGCTGCAGCCCGTGGGACCCGCCGGCAGAACCGCCCGGAGAAGGGAGAGCGGCCGGAGCCGGGAGAGTGGCCGGAGCCGGGAGAGTGGCCGGAGCCAGTGACCAGTGGCCACCGTCGCCCTTCGCTGGGCACGAGGACGTGAGGCCCCGGTGGGTGCCGGGAGGGGGTCCGGGCTCACAGGGGTCCGAGCAGGGGGGGTCGTGGCGATGGGAACCCCTGGAGGGCTCCGCGGGGGATCTCTGGTGGCTCCTACGAGGCTGAGCCCACTCTCGGGGCTCCCCGCGGAGCCCCTTCCAGCGCCCCCAGGGCTGGTTGCGATGGCGAATTTTGGGGGGTACCCCCCAGCCAGGCCTTTCCGCCGCGCTGCCGGATCCGGGGCTGTGGCGGGGCCGGCCCCGGCAGCCTTGTTTCCTAAGGAAATCAGGCTGGGAAGAAAAGGCAGCCCCCTCTTCCCCTGCCCCACAGCCGGGGGGAGAGGCCGGGGGGTGCCGGGCCACAGCCCCAGATGTGTCACAACCTGCCCGTTCTCAGCAGCCGCACTCGGGGACGGGGGTGCTGGGGAACGGGGGTGAGGGGCACCGGGGGCTCCTTCAGTCCTCCTGGCTGGGACACAGGGCCGGGCTGGCACCGGGGGGAGCGGGCACAGCAGGCACCCACCCCCCCGAGTGCCCCAGGGCCACGGGGATGGGCCGTGGGTGCTGTTCCGTGGGGTCCTTGGGGCCGGATCCTGCCCCCTGGCCCTGGCCAGGCTGCGGGTGGGACAGTGCCGAGGCTGAGCTCGGAGCCCCCCCGTTCACCCCAGAGGGGATAAATCCCATTTGGGGGGGTTAGCCCCCCGTTTTGGGGTGTCATCCCCCGTGCTGGGGGGCTGCCCCTGCTGCCACAGCCCCTCTCCTCCCCGCCAGGAGCAGGAAGCGCGGCCCGGCAGCCTCGGACTTTGGCCCATCCGGCGT